TGGTCAGTTCTGCTCCCGGGTGGCAGAGAACACAAGTTCTGCTCTGCTCTGCTCTGCTCTGCTCTGCTCTGATCTAAATCAATTTAATTGAGGTCCAAGTGCTGGCCCTTGGCCCGGCTTAATTTGTTGATTTGTGCTCGCTCTCTCTCACTCTCTGTTGAAACCCATTAGCAGTGTCTATCAGTGTGAAATCTGAGGCAGCCAGGGTGTTCGGGGGGTTTCTATCGGATGGATCTGGAAGGCAGTAGGGGGACAGATAGAAGAAGGTAGTGAGAACTGAGGGACATATGGGTTGTCTGTGTGTGTTTTCTTGAATCTGTGGGGCATAAAGTTTCCTCTTTGAAGGATGAAGAACGCAGCTTCTGGGGTCATTTCCGGCTCAGCCTTAAGCAGGCCCCCAAGTAGATGTCTTGAACTTTGGGCCCCACAAGAAACGCTCGCAATTCCCCAACGCCAAGTGCAAAATTGAAAAGTTCAGATGCCAACTGATCATGCAAGGCTGTCTTTCATCCCAAGCCCGCCATGAACTCACTTCCGTTCTCCAGAGGGGCGGAGGGTCAAGTCAGACCTCAAGTGCAATTCGTAATTACTCATTCATAATTTCTGCTCGAGTATGAGTATTCCTCGGTTCTCTGTCTTCAATTGAAAGAACTACGCATCGTGCGAGTACTAGGCTTATTCATTCATTCATTCATACATTTATTTACGAGTATTTATTATTCGAATTGGTTTCGGGGGCTGGGGTCGGGTCCAGCAGAGGTCTGGCGGCGCAAATTAACTTAATTGAAATTCGGGTCAACAGAGAGGCCAAGATAATGAAAGAAACTAATTAAGGAGAACTACTGGAACTACCCCCCTCACCCCCCCTCACCCCCCCTCACCCCCTCTAGGCGCTCTCTGATTGCCTGCGCCACTGCCCACATGATTTTTTTCTATTGTTATTGCGGGGTTTGCGCATTTGTCGCTTAAATATTTTCAAATATTTTCCCAAATTGTATTTGTATTGCCATTATTTGATTAGTTGTGCGCCCCAGTGTCCGTGGGTTAACAATTATTTTATTAATAAATATTTGAATGGCCTGCCCTCATCCGAACCTCTACCATCATCATCATCATCATCATCGTAGAGCTCTGGTAATATCGAGTGCTGGCCAGCCGCCACATCAGTTTCAATTAAAAACACATTTTGTGGTCACTGTGTGGTCGCCACTTGGAGGGTTCAAGGGGGTCGGGTCGCCTGGTTAGGGTTCCAATTTACCCCGCGAGGTGACACGCCCGATACTTGCGGGGCTTCCCGGCAGAGAGCGGGGTCTGGGTGTGGTATAGGGGATCCCTATGCCATTGGTGTGTGGTGCCATTGTGGTGGCCATCATCATCAAACTGGATTGCGGGCTTCAATCGATAAATGTCAATATTTTTGCACGACAACTTGGCTAAAAGAGTGCAACGGGCTTAGTGTCAGCTGATATCTGTGTTAGTCGATGGGCAAGAGCCTCTCTCTAACCCCCTTCTAACCGCCTCTAACCCCCAGTTGAAAGTGGAAGCAAAAGCGGTTCAAGTAGTACAAATAGGACTTATCATATGAGTTTTATCAGTGTTCTTCCAGAGAAAGTACCCAAAAAGAACTCATGGTATGGGCATAAAGCCTGAAATTTGTGCATAAAGTCTAATCTTAAAGCTAGAGCATTCAAATTTTGCACAAAAATGTAAAATATTAATACAGAATTTCGGTTTTTTATTATTTTTCTATCAAACCACACCCTCAACACCTCCTCTCCCAAGAAACCAAGAAAGAAAAGAACATAGAAAAATTTAAAAATTTCTATGTATTTATTCAAAATTTTATGAACAGATATGTTTATTGTTTTTCTTCGTCTAACTCAAATTGTGGGAAGAAATAATCGATCAAGTTAAACTTAATGGGAAAAGGGTATTCCATCGATAACTCTATGCCTGATGGACTTCTCCGATCCGTATTTGTCCATCTTTCCCAGACAAAACTCGTTTCTCTTTATATATTTAAGTATATATATCTCTAAAGGACTTCGAAACGCTTGGCCACAGCTCTCCTGCTAGCCCCATCGCCAAAATATTGAGAGACATCTGCAAAAAATCCCTAACACCTAGGCCACCACTTAGACACCTCTTTCAACGGCCTATGATCGGCCCAAGAAAGTTCCCTAGCTTACAGATGTACCTACTGCTTCATCCTATCAAAGATCTCTATAGAGAGTAGCCACAAAAAAGGAGACAAAGCCACTGAAACCCATGCAGGCCTTAAGCCTTTGCCCAAACAAAGCGAAGAACTAACCGATTATATATCAAATATTTATGAAATACGGCAGGAGGATGGGAGGATGGGATAGAAGACGGATACGGATAGGGATAGGGATAGGCCTAAGCCATGGTTGAGGGGTTTGAATCATTAACGGGCTACAGGGAGCAACCAGGAGTCTAAACGCACAAGAAGTGTAACAAACGGCACACGCACAACGCCGGAGGAGATCGATCCTTGTGTAGGTCCTGGCCTGGTCCTGGTCCTGTCCTGGCCTATGGTTGCACGCTGGGTAATCAGGTCTTGGCATCTGCTTGAGCCTCGGACCCACAAGGTTGCTCTTTCGACTCACCGTAAGCCGTGCACTTAACCCGGGTAATAAGATAGGTGAGGCAGGGATCCGCACGGTCCATTCTGCTTGTTATCTTTGCAAATTGCATGTCGAGCACTTAAGCCAATTGTACGAGTATGAGAGAGCTACAGCAGATCCTGGCAAAGGAGAACTGGTTAAGACGTTTTTGTGCGCTTGAGCGCGTGCTACTCTCTCTCTCTCTAGGCCCATTCTCTTTCCAATTCTATTCTAAAGTGATACAGTTAAACAAATCCCAGGGCAGCCACAATCCATGAACCAATAATGCTGCCACAGGAACACGCGAAGGATACCCTCTCTCTCTCTCTCCCTCTCGTATCCTGGACTGATTTAGCGACTTAGACCCTCGGCCTAGTCCCGGGCTTAGGTAAGTGGATTGCCGATTCCGCTGCCATGCCGGTAGCATACGAGTATAATTGGGAAATGTGTTAAGTATATAATGCGCTCATCCGATCTATTTCAATAACAAACCGAAGCATCTTAAGCTGGGCAAACCAGGCCTGCCGTCCTATATCCCAATAAAACAATGCCCCTGATCTGGGGATTGGGCACAAAAGTTTTCCCATCTATAGACCGGAGTATATGCAAAATATTGGACTGCTCGATGGCTTGGCTTAGGGCGTGCGGGCCCAAAAGGCGATTTAACTCTTGCGCTGGACCTAAGCCGAGCATAAGCCCCAAATATGTACATACAAGGGGCATACAGGAGCTTGTTTTTAGGGAAAGAGTTCTGCGCTAGAGGCGGCGGAAATGAGCAATGGATAGAGAAGGAAAATAGTTAAACCAAGGATTGTACTCAAATCTATATGAACTGGAAAAGGTAGAGCTTCATGGAGATGGAGATATGGGAGCAGTAGCTACTATGCCTATAGCCCTCTCCACCCCGTAAACCTCTAGATCCTAGGCAAGACTACCTCAAAACCCGTTTAACGATTGCAATACACATCAATCCACCTCAAGACCCTATCTCCACTCGAATGGCCTTTAAAGGTATCACGATCTGAACTATTATACAACTCCCAGTCCCAATCCCAATCCCTCTCCCCCTCCACCTATCCCCATCTGACACCTTATAAAACTGCCAGCTAATCGTTTCAATAACATGATTTACCCAGCACACACACACACACACACACATACACACACACACACACACACACACGTAATAATTTACAATTATTGAAACGATGAAAAATGGGCACACAAAATATGATAATTGCTACTGATCGCAGCCCAATGGAGTCCCCCGCGTCCCTGCTGCCAGAAAGAGAGGGAACGAGGATTAATCTAGTAACGATGATATTAATTATCATTTCGTTTACAAATCGCTGTAGGAAGGGGGGCGAAAAGCGCTGTATTTATGATATTATCAAGGCTTGTTATTCGAATTTTCTTTTGGGGTGGGGGGCGGGGGGAAAACTTGTTGATGCCATTGATATGAGGCAGCGATGGAATGGATGATGATGATGATGCTCCCTTTTTCTCACATTTTTTACTCCAACGCGCACTTACAGATACACAGATACACACACATGTCAAGTGATCAAAGAATCAGAAGCCGCTTTCCCAACAGTGAAAATATACGAAATGAAGCCATCAGAGAAACCCAAAAAAACAAGGCCCAGGCCCAGTCCCGGGCTATGGCTCTGCATGTCGGTGCCCTTTCTAGTATTTCCTTAAGGTTCTCATCTTTCCAAAATCGAAGACGGGGCAGCGCTGCAAGAGCCCGGGCATATTAGTTTGAGAAATTGTATAACAAAAGTGAGAGAGAGAGAGAGAGAAGTGTGGCTGTGCTCTCTCTGTCCAGAACTAGTAGACAATGGCCTGGCTGGACCCCATATCTGGCTGGGATCTTACCTGCGGTGCCCGGCACACATCTCTCACAGCTGGAGTTGTCACTGGGCATGTAAAGACCCAAACAAAATTGAGACAACAACACACTGCGGCCACTGGGGGTAAAGTCAATGGGTGATGGCTCATTTTGTGCGTCCGACTCCGGCTCTGGCTCCGACTCTGGCTCCGACTCCGGCTCCTACTCCCTCGTTTTCTGCCTTTTTTTTTGGGAATCATTTTCATGTTTGCCGCTGGCTCTGCAAACAACTAATTAAGTCATCAGGATGAAAGGAAACTCAAGCTAGAGGAAGCTGAATAAATGTGAAACGAACGGCGATGGACAGCAGATGTACGGCCCAAAAAAAAAGGTGAATAATCATCATCAAAATATTAAGACATTTCAATCTTGTTTTTGAGGCATATTTCTCTGAAAAAATTGACCAAAAACCAAGGAAAAAATATGGAATTTTTCTTTTAAAATTTTTTATTTATTTTTGTAAACTTTTTTTGATATATGCTGTATAGGTATATATTTTTCGGCCCCCATTCGGCACCAGAGGGCGGGGCCCTCACCAGAGCGGGCCTTTTTCCTGGGGTTTTCTTCTTGTCGACTTTCCAGGCCGACAATGGGGGCCCGCTGAAGACCAAATGTTTGCGAAATGGCCGAAAGAATTTGCTAAATGCAGCATTTAGACGTCATAGGATGCGGGGAAGGTGGCAGGCAGGCAGGGAGCACTGCCTCCCCAGTCCCCACTGTGTGACGGCGGCGGCGGCTTGGCAAAGCCTTGTCCCGTGGATCCAAAGCGCTGGGCGTTGCAGCCTCGGAGGCACTCCTTAGCTGGCGGGGAACTTGCCGAAGAACTGCATCCGCTGGAAGAGCTCGGCGCTCATGTGCGGAGCATAGCCCTGCAGCTGGGCGGGATGCGGCGACTGCTGATGGCTGGGCGGGGCGGCGGCGGCAGCCTGGTACTGCATCTGCTGGTGGAGGGCCGCCTGGTAGGCGGCGGGATTCATGCGCTGGTAGAGCGCGGCAGCGGCAGCGGCGGCGGCGGCAGCAGCGCCGGCAAAGGGCACGCCTGGGTAGCCGTAGCCGGGCGCGGGGGCACCATAGCCACTGGGCATCATGGGCGAGAAGATGGCCTGGCGGTAGGCGGCGAGGCGGGTGCGGCTGGCACCGGGATTCTTGCGGCGCAGCTTGCCGGTGGTCTCGCCGATGAAGACCTCCTCGGCAGAGGGGTCCAGGATCCAGTAGTTGCCCTTGCCGGGGTCGTCGTAGCTGCGCGGGATCTTGGTGAAGCACTTGTTGAGGCTCAGGTTGTGGCGGATGGAGTTCTGCCAGCCCCGCTTGTTGGCCTTGAAGTAGGGGAAGCGGTTGATCAGGTACTGGTAGATCCCGTTGAGGGTCAGGCGCTGCTCGGGGCTGTCCTGGATGGCCATCATGATGAGGGCATTGTAGCTGTACGGCGGCTTCTTGGTGTCGCTGCTGCAGCCGCTCATCTTCTGCTTCTTGCTGGGGTTGCCCTCGCCCTCGCTCTCCTCCTCCTCCAGCTGGTCCTCCTCGTCGTCGAACTCCACGTCCAGCTTGTCGTTGTTCTGCGACGACAGCGACTCGGCGGCACTGCTCATGGGTGTGCTGGTCCGCGAGGGGCTGTCGAAATCCTCCGAAGCCGACAGCTCCCCATCGGAGTTGCCATACGGATGCACATAATGCTGGTGATGGTGTTGGTGATGGTGTGGCAGGGGCATGGGCTCATGCTTGATGATCGGCGCCGATGTTGCGGTTTTGTTTGTGGGTTTCTTGGCCAGAATGGCGTCGATGGAGAAGTTGCTCTTGAACTCCATTTCGCAGACACTTTTCACCATTTTCATGCGATTTACAGACTATAGTTTTTCTTTCTTTGGTTTCTTTGGACACACACTAACGGATTGCTCTGTTCGAGTTGTGGTTGTGGCACGTTGCAAGCTGTGGGCAATACTGATTCTCTACAGCTCGGGCGAGCGCTATTTATAGTCCAACCCCTCGTCGCCGCTCGAAGGGAAGTCTACAAAAGAGGCCTGAGAGAGCGCACACAGAGGCAAGGCGCTCTCTCTCTCTCTCTCTCTCTCTCTCTTGCCGCTTAGGTAGACGGAAGGCTCCGCCCTCCATTCGCTCGACGCTCAACCATTTTGTTCCACAGGTTCCACATGGCTCTCTCTGTTCGGTTTTGTTTTTGTTTTGGATGTTTTGGATGTTGTGTGGATGTTTATTTGCAGTCTTTTGCTGCTTCGGCGTCAAAATATCCATTACATCCAATCCAAACAGCCGGAATGGGGTTGGCAGCCGTCTCTTTCGCGCCCCCTGTTTTGACCATTAATTGAGCCAACAAATTTTCGATAGGGAGTCGCCACTTTAATCGTGATTCGAATCGAATGCCGGGCTTTGAATTTCGTGGAATTAGTTTTAAGAGACCTCAAGATTCCACCTAATCCCGCCCGAAACTAGTTCAAGGGTCCTCTGGTCCTGGATTACTTGAGGCAGATCCCTTGGCTTGGCTTACGGCACGATTTTCAACAGCTCAATGGAGCTCAAGCGCTTGGTCTGCTGCCAGGTAATCCCATCCATCCCCGTCCCGTCCTCTGCTGAAGGGTTAAAACCCTTAAATCAACGGGATTTGTTTTAGTTTCGCGACAGATCTCCGAATTAGTTCTGGCCGGTCGTTCTCCCGCCATCCGTTCGAGTAGCTCTCGAGAGAGTAGCAAATATTTGTGCTCAGGCTTTTGGGCAGTTGTTGAAAATGGGTTTAAATAAGTTAAGTTATGTTTGGCAGACTTTATTTGGGAGTTAAATGAAGGCTGGGATCAGAGAGGAGGCTGTGTTGAGGGAAAAGTGGAAGGGAAAGCCAATATAGACAGGGATAGGGACATGGAAGATACGGGGAGGATTAATGATTGAAGTTATGCCTGTTTTCTAGGTATAAATATATGCTAAACATAGGAAATAAAACAGAAAAAAATTTAAAAAAATTATTTCGAATTTTCAGAAAGTTTTTTGTAAATTATGGACCTAATTATTCCCTTTTTTAAGAGATCTAAGATGACATTTCAGATCTTTCATTACTGATTATCCTTTGACTTTTTCTATATTAAAAGTGGGTTAAAAATATATTAAAAATATTTAATTTTTTGCAATTTTTATCCCGTAAACTTCTTGTAATATAAAAACTCTTGGATAGCATTTTAGATAGATATTTTGGTATACTTCTGCTTTCAAAAAATTGCATATATCAAGGCAGCGTTGACAATTTTTGTAGTGAAGTGAACTCAAGCGAATCGCTGCCACATGCAACTCATGTGGCAAGTCACAAATGGTGTCCTTTGAAGGAGTGCAGATCAAACGAAGCGTCTCGGGCACTAGACTACCGAATTCGATGGGATTTGTGCGTGGAATGGGCCTCGATCGGACTACAATAACAAGGAAGTACAAGTGGTTTTTGTTTCGACAGTGTTTTATGTTTTTATGGCATGTTTTGTTAGAACAATTGAACAAATATGTACATCCCATGCTATAAATTGGGCGAAAGTCAAGTACAGACAATGAAGACGTCAGCGCTGTGGGCTATCATGGATAGATGGATGTGAGAGGGGGGTCGGGGGACAGGCAGAGACATTACTTGTCGGCGGCATTAGGCTTTTGATATCTTAGACAACTTGACAAAACAATCAAAGCAGCAGCACATGTTCCAAATGACTGTCTATTAATTTTACTTCTTACTTGTATTTTTCTTCCTTTTTTTGCGCTGAACAAAACAATGGAGGAGAGGCAGCGCACTTTTGACGCAGTAGTCCAATTGCCGATGATAATGATGCACTCAGTGGTGCGGCAGACTTGAAAGAGGCGACGAGGAGCAGGTCCGAGGGAGAGATGGTAAAAAGTAGGCGGCGGCCAGGGGCCAACAATGGTTACGGCGGCAGGTTCAGTTACTCGGATCTATTCTTTCGTTTTTCTTTCTTTTCTAAGCGTAGGGATAAATGGAGATTTGAACGCCTCAATTTTCGGTTCGTCGGCGGCGGCTTCCCTTTCTCCTTTCCTCACTAATTGAGTTGGATTTCTCTCCATAACGTGGCGACGCCTCGTTCTTTTTTTTGTTTTTTGCAAGTTGGATGAAAGGGGGTTTACCGCCGCCTAGGCTTGACTCTGAGCCTGACTTTTCCCTGGTGAGTGCATAATTTTGACAGCCGCGACAAAACTAATTGATTTGTGAAATCCAGTCATCCGATGTCCGATGTCGGATGGTTGCTTCCTGGACACACACATTGACGATGGTGGCAGACCTAGAGCATGTGGTCGCTGATTGGGTGATCAAGGATGGACAAGGACTCCACGCTGGCTGACATTATGGTTTCATTGCCAAAACCACACTTAGGCGAAACCGAGGCGAGCTTCACGCTTGACTATTGAAAACTATAGGAATGGCATAAGCGAATTCCAAGTAGACACCGTGGCCACAGACAATGTCCATGTAATTTCCAATTAACGCCACAAGATCTCCTCCTCCTTTCGCCGCCTGCTCTCCAACTTTGGAAAACCGAAAACTTTCGACCATTTCGTTCCACTGCTGGACAGCATTGAGTCTCATAATTGATCGTAATGTGCGATATTTCTCTGAGGATGGTCCCGAAGATCCGAAGACCCGAGGCTGGACACCAGCAGGACATCGGCATTTGTCGCGCTCTGCGAGTCGTCCTTCTTCTCGCCTCGCACTTTGCCTTTCGGCCATTGTCCCCTGGGCCCGTCCTGTCGACAGGATACGTACCTCTGGCTCGTTTCGCATTTTATGGCCAAACAATGCCCATGATCGATCTATCTATAGATCTATCTATTGATTTTTTATGCATCCAGTGCGGGCATTGCTGCGAAACGCTTTAATCTGGCACTAATCAGGGCTCTCTCTCTCTCTCTCTCTCTGGGTACTTTCCCTCTGTGTTCTCTGTAAATCTCAGTTTATTGATAAATCTTATGACAATCCTAGATTTTGAATGAATCCCGCTTCTTAACTTCTTAGGTAGCTCGATCCCGACCGGATTTGAGTCCATATTGCCTTTATGATCTCTCGCTTCACTTTTACGGCTGTCGGATCTGCACAGGTAGCCGCCGAAAACTTGCAAGTTTATGGCTACCCCCACAGGTAGGTCTTTAACAGACTATTGTGAGGAAAGAACAACCGAATGACAGCCGAATAGTGATAAAAAGCTATAGACTTTGAGGGAAATGGCACCTTGGGGATCTGGGGGATCTACTGGGGTAGAATCACGAATCTTTGGGAGGAGTAAGATGCTCCATGAACAGAGCAATGTGGCCTCTAAACATTTACATTTATAGGAAATCCAGGAAATTCGGATGATATTTGGTGGCCCTTCGGTGGCTGGGACAACTTTTGGAATCGCTGAACGCTCGCTTTGGGCGACTCCTGTGCAGGCAGACTCTATTGTTGCTCCTTCTGGGGCCTCTAGGCTTCTAGTAGCAGCTTTTATCATAGCAAACATCACAACAAGAACTCTGAAATATGCCCTAGAGCCTTGCCATCAAACTTTATTTTAGCTTGTGGTTTCTATGGACTATTAAAGCCTCGATCTTTCATCAATTACATTCGCATAAAAACTATATTTGTTCTATAGAATAAAGCTGTCCCGAAAATACAATATTATTCTACACAGATCATAAGAACCCACCCTTTTGAATGTGGTACAGTTGCCACCGAGTCCTATCCCGATCCCAATCCTGACGCACACAAAGAGAGACGTCTCACACACGATAGTGGGAGAGGAACATGGCTGGACATGGACATGGATGGACATGGTGCTGCTACTAACGAGCAATTATCGCCAGCTCCCAGGCGTTGTTCCACGATTTCACACGCCCAGAGAGAGGGAGAGAGAGCGACGAATAGAGATGAAGAGTCAGCGGAGCCAAAACCCCTGAGATGTCCTGTATAGAGCATCCTCATCACGGATTTGCTACGCTTTGGGGGGGAGTCCAGCAGCATGGAAACCTGCAAAAGATACACAGATACACAGATACAAATGCCTGACTCGGTGTGTGTGTGTGCGTGTGTGTGTGCCTGTGTTGTTGGTGCATATTGTTAGGACACAATGGATGAAAATATTTTCGTCCTGTTGTCAAATGATTGCATTTAATGTATCGAAATCTGCGTGACGAATCAATTTAGTTCTAGCAAGCTGCTGGGAAAGGGAAAATGAGAACTGGGATCGGGATCGGGATCGGGACTGGCAACCAGTTGCCTTTATAATTCGATCATGGGTTTCTATGGGATATCTGTATCCTTGCATCCTGTCTGGCACATGGCGCAACCGCACAGACAACTTAATCAATAAGTCTCACTCGGTCCCTGCCGAAGGATGCGAAATACTTTGGAATGTGGAACCGATCGGTTAGAGGCCTCGTTACAGTGGGTGTTGTCGGGCAACGCTGTGGGGAAACGACTCTACTACGACTCTAGGGTTGTCTTTGGAGATCCTGAGCGTTTTACGATCTGTCACTAATGTGCTTCTTGTCAAAAAGGAGGCTCTTCTGCGGCTCACAGCTGCTGTCATGTGTGGAGAGCAGAGAGAATACTCGAGAGAAACTTGAACACATATGGAAAACAAATAAACGTCTGAAGAGAAGAGGTTTAAGGAGGAGAGGGGGTTCTTAATGGGGGAATATGCCCGTTCTGACAGCTCAAATTATGTTGGGATCATGGGAGAGGGAGTGGAGCATTAGGGGGTGTTCTTAAGGGTGAATATTCGAACAATTAATGAGGGAATTATTTTATTTTTTATCGGTTTTCAAGTGTTTCGTGGCATTTCTCCACACTTATCAAGAGATAGTCGTTTATTCCTTCAATATTATACCAATTCTAGTATCAGGTTCCCTCCAAATCACAATCATCTAGCAGGAAT